AACAAATGCCGATGTGCAGAGATGGGGATTAAGACTTTACAAGAGAACTAGGAGCGCAGAAAAGGTCTGGCTGGCCCAATGGCATTGTTGACTGGACCGATGGGACTTCTCCCCCTATCTCATGCCATTTCTTGGTCTTTACTTACTCTTTCTTACTCTTTTCACTCTCGGGCCTATAATCCCTTAATAAGGCTCATGGCATTGAGTCAGGAAGGACAAATCAGAGGCCTTTCAGCCAAACCTATACAGGTCCATTATCATTTGGCTTGAGATGACTGAATGAATGGTGAGGTCTTATTTGCCGGTAATATGGACCACCTCGCTGTGGGTGTGAACTGGGACAGTCAATGAGGTACGAGGGACACTATCTTCCACAGAGCCTAAGACAGGAGGCGCGCCTTGCTGCTACCTTATCCCATGGAGGGGCCTAGAAGGTGGGATGAGTTGACCCAACCTAGAGCAGGCGCAGTTCCCGAGGGTCGTTTCTATATAAAACGAAGTAAAGGGGACCTGTCGACGTACTGCACGCCCCGGCCATAGCGGAATAATAATTGACGATTAAAACGCCTGAGCTTTATTCATTTCCCCTTCACCTCCTCCTATCTTCTGCCTTTTCCCCTGTATTATAAACTCATAAAAGATGGCGCCTTCCTGCTTCTTCTTCACCTTTTTTCCGTGCCCGCGAAAAATTGTTTAGCTGACCAGCACAGGACCACATGGACGTCTGTCGACAGCTTACAGGTAATACCTACTGGGCCACCTACCTGGCCACACCCTCCGCGATGAGATCATTTTCGCCTTGGCCCAACCCCTTCCCCTCCAAGTGTATATAAGGCACTGCATTACCGCCATTAAAAGGGACTTGATCAGAGCACTGTCTTGTCTCCATTTCTCGTATCTCTTGTTCCCCAAATTCCCACTCCCTCTTCCAGGGCCTGCAGTGACGATCCTGCGGGCCGGGATATTGTGCTAGTCATTTAGCCTCAGCATTTGTATTCTTTTATCATGAAGTGAGATGACTAGTTTATAACAAAGGTAGTGTGAGAAGCATACATACGAGATGAAGTGAGACTATTTTGTAAATCGGCACTGTCTAGAAAGGTAAGGTGGTATTGTCACTGATAACAGTAATCTGAAGTACAACTTACGATGTAATTTTTTAGACATATTTAGAAATTTCAAAGGCATATTTCTGCTGATGCTCATATATTTGTACTGTCTATAATTTTGGATTATGTGAGTGGACTGTTGTAAATGATTGAGTCACTTCTGTGTTTGTATAAAATGATTACAATCTTATATAAATTCCCAGATTATAGAGTTTCATGTGGAAGATAACATGAGTCTTCTACTAATAGAATACAGAAGTTTCTAAATTAATACCAACTTGTGACTACTTGTATGTACTGTGAACTTGACTTCCTCTCCTTGCTTGCCAAAAGCTCACCAAGGTTACCTACATCCTTGTCCTCTTAACAGACTGTAGATAAACCACTTTAGATTGATGTTGACACCTAATGACCAACATCGGGAATTGCCACATGTAAGTTTTATTTTACTGAAGAATACTTTTAAAAACTCTTCTGCAAATGCATGATTCTAATTTTATTTTTAAATGTATTTTAACTCTTTAATTTGAAAAAATTTGTCCATTAACTGTGCTGTGACTCAAAGGTTAACTTTTAGCACTATCATTAAATTATAGGCTTGAGACACAGAGAGACCTAGGTTCATATCCTGGCTTTGCCATGTAACACTGAGCACATTATTTAACCTCTTTGAGCCTCAGTTTTATCCTCTGTAGGGGAAAATAATAGCATCAACCATCTACGTTTGTTGCAAGAAATCAGTGATATTTAATCTCATGTGAAATGCTGGCATGTTGTCTGGCACAGTAAATTTTAACTGTGATTATCAATGTTCAGACCTGAGAAGAAACTATCTCCTGCGATTTCTCGTGGAGATTATAAGGCAAGCTCTTTAGAGTGGGAGTGGTTATACTTTCATAATATTTCTGTGATTTGAATTTAAAAAATTATACAACCAAAACAAAAATAAAGTGGATACCAAGGCTGAAATTATTATAGCTGTCCTCTATAATAATATGATTTTATGTTTATCATTTTTAAAAGTTTAAAGTTTAAATTTATTGACTTTATAGGTTTATAAACAAATTAGATTTATACTAATAAATATTAGTAATAGTTTTATTTTATGTATCAAAGTTTCTCATTAGATTTTATTTAAAGAAAAGTGGTTCTGTCGTTTTTTATAAAAGACAAAACAAAACAAAACCCACCATAAAGAAACCCTTGTATAGATTGTTCTCTTCACCCTGGCCTTTCCTCTGCCTTCCCAAGGGCTTTGAGTTCATTTTGTCCTTGACTGTTTTCTCCCCAGTGTGCACGCTTGCTCTTTAGTCGTCTTCTTTCTAACTTGGCTATTTTTCCGTCTCTATCTGTTTATGACATAGAATGTCTCCCCAGTATCTTATCTGCTTTGCCTCTCTTTGAGCTCACATGCAACCTTGAGAATTCACCTTTGTCTAGCAAAGAGAAAACATAGGTTTTGATGTAAAATTAGGCATAAGAAGCATTATCAATCTCCAAACTCTGAAAGTTTCTGGAAGTTCCTCCTCAAATCTTCCAAATGTTGACCAGCCTCTTTCTCAGAGCCCTTTATACATCATTTAAAATCTTTTAATTATTAGTATTGTGACAATCTTGATTTGTTTTCCATTGCAACATATTCAGTATTTGAGCCACATGATAAGTTGAGTTTGCCTTTAGATAGCTGGCCCATAGCCCTCATCATTTATAAAATTGTTTCCAAGAGACAGAACAAATGATGTGTAAAGCCCTTTCTGATAATAAATAAAATAGATTTGTAATTTGGATATTTTTCCCTATTAGTGTATCATCTTGAGGTATACAACTGTCTTTGATCCGGACATTCTGAATGTTTTTGTTATCAGTGTTTCTTAATTTTACAGAACAGAGGACAACGCAACAAGACCAGCTATATTTCTTACAAACGCAGACTGGTGTGAGCACATGGCATGATCCAAGAGTGCCCAGGTAAGAATGCATTTTAAGCACTCTAGACCATCAAAGAGCCGTCTCACCTAGGATTTCTTTGATTTTTAAGAAATTTTTACCTTTTAAAAATAGTTTATGTAAAAGTTTGACTCTTCTGATAGTTATTTCGGTTTTGACATTTAGTAAAAAGTCCTACCTACTTCTCTGCAATCTCACCTCAGTTCTCCCCTCCCTCACCAGTCCCTAGCCACCCTCTCCTGCTTCTCCTTAAAAAAAAGTGGAATAAAAACATGGGTCTTTTAGGAGTTTGAAACTTGTCCTAGGGTACCAAGCAGGGTGGCTGTCACCTGTGTTCCCAACACTTTGGGAGGCTGAGGCAGGAGGATCACTTGAGCCCAGGAGTTTGAGACCAGTCTGAGCAACATAGAGGGACCCCGTCTCTACCAAGCATTAAAACTCAGCCGTTTGTGGTGGAGCACATCTGTGGTCCCAGTTGCTTTGGAGGCTGAGGCAAGAGGATTGCTTGAGCCAGGGAGGTTGAAGCTACAGTGAGCCTTGGTCGCACTACTACACTCCAGCCTAGGAGACAAAGCAAGACCCCATTTCAAAAAATGAGAGAGCAAATTCGTGTAGTCCCAGCTGCTCGCGAGGCTAAGGTGGGAGGCAGAGGTTTCAGTGAGTCAAGGTCACACCAGGGCACTCTATCCTGGGCAACAGAGAGATTCCATCTCAAAAAAAAGAGAAGAAAAAAGGCCGGGCGCGGTGGCTCACGCCTGTAATCCCAGCACTTTGCGAGGCCGAGATGGGCGGATCACGAGGTCAGGAGATCGAGACCATCCTGGCTAACATGGTGAAATCCCATCTCTACTAAAACTACAAAAAATTAGTCGGGCTTGGTGGTGGGCGCCTGTAGTCCCCACTGCTCGGGAGGCTGAGACGGGAGAATGGTGTGAACCTGGGAGGCGGAGCTTGCAGTGAGCTGAGATTGCATCACTGCACTCCAACCTGAGTGACAGAGCAAAACTCCGTCTAAAAAAAAAAAAAAAAGAAAAAAAAAAAGGCTAAAAAAGGAAAATTGACCTGGGGAAAAACAGAAAGCATACCCTTTAAAAAAGGATCATAGGTTGATATTCTTAATTATGGTTCAGCTTTAAAAAATCTTTTAAAAAAATTAACCTCCTAAATGTATTCAATGTTCTTTTATGTGTTCCTTAGTAAAATTTGATTTTAATGTAGAAAACAACCTAATTAATTCATTAATTAATCTTTTTGAGACGGAATCTTTTTCTGTTGCCCAGGCTGGAGTGCAGTGGTGCAATGTCGGCTGACTGCAACCTCCGTCTCCCTAGTTCAGGCGATTCTCCTGTCTCAGCCCCGAGTAGCTAGGATTATAGGTGCTTGTCACCACCATACGCAGCTGATTTTTGTATTTTTAGTAGAGGTGGGGTTTCGCCATGTTGTCCAGTCTGGTCTTGAATGCCTGACCTCAGGGGATTCGCCTGCCTTGACCTACCAAAGTGCTGGGATTATGAGCCACTGTGCCTGGCCCTAATTTAAATATCCAAACTTGCATATTTCAGCTGCAGACATTGCATTTACTAACCAAAATGTCAATTACTTTTAACTTCAAAAAGATGAAATGACACACAAATGAATTTAGTTACTTCCCATAATTTTTGGAATATTCTTTTCTTCCTTCCTCCCTCCCTCCCCTTTTGTTTGAGACAGGATCTGGCTCTGCTGTCCAGGCTGGAGAGCAGTAGTGCAGTCCTAGCTCACTACAACCTCTGCCTCCTGGGCTTAAGCCATCCTCCCACTTCAGCCTCCTGAGTAACTGGGACTACAGGCATGCGCCACTGTACCCCGATAATTTTTGTATTTTTAGTAGAGATGGGGTTACACGGTGTTGCCCAGGCTAGTCTGGAATTCCTGAGCTCAAACAGTCTGCCCACCTCAGCCTCCCAAAGTGCTGGGATTAAAAGCATGAGCCATCGTGCTTGGTCCTATTTTGAGTTTTTTTTTAATGAATAGATGCAAGGTACCAAGTAGTCCAGTTGAAACTGGAAAAAAGCTTGAATTCTAAATTAAATTCGAAATCAACTCTGTACGTTTCACATACAAAGGATTTCCTGGATGTGGATTTTTTTTTTTTTTTTTTGAGACGGAGTCTGACTCTGTCGCCCAGGCGGGAGTGCAGTGGCCAGATCTCAGCTCACTGCAAGCTCCGCCTCCCGGGTTCACGCCATTCTCCTGCCTCAGCCTCCCGAGTAGCTGGGACTACAGGCGCCCGCCGCCTCGCCCGGCTAGTTTTTTGTATTTTTTAGTAGAGACGGGGTTTCACCAGGTTAGCCAGGATGGTCTCAATCTCCTGACCTCGTGATCCGCCCGTCTCGGCCTCCCAAAGTGCTGGGATTACAGGCTTGAGCCACCGCGCCCGGCCGGATGTGGATATTTTATGTTAAGCACAGCAGCCCCCCTCCTCCAAAACAAAACAAACTCCCCAAAACAATCCACAGAGGGTTGTTTTTTCAGGACTTTATTGTGTATTTGAATCAAATAGAGATGTGCCTCGCTTGTCGTGGGTTACTTTGATATTCTGTAAAAGTAAAAGTATGATAATGAAAATGTCTTACTTTGTGTTATAGAGCTCAGAATCCTTTGAGGGTGGCAACCAAGGGAATGTACTATTACTCATTACTTTATCAAGGTTGCCATTTCTATGTCTTGACAATATAAGCTGTTACTTTTTTAAAAGTAGTAGGGGCCAGGCACGGTGGCTCACACTTGTAATCCCAGCACTTTGGGAGGCTGAGGCGGGAGGATCACTTGAGGTCAGGAGTTCGAGACCAGCCTGGCCAACATAGTGAAAACCCATCTCTACTAAAAATACAAAATTAGCCAGGCGTGGTGGCCTGTGCCTGTAAGCCGAGCTACTCAGGAGGCTAAGCCAGAAGAATCGCTTGAACCTGGGAGGCAGAGGTTGTGGTAAGCTGAGATCACACCTTTGAACTCCAGCCTGGGCAACAGAGCAAGGCTCCATCTCTAAATAAATAAATGATAGATAGATAGATAGATAGATAGATAGTAGTGGGGAGGAAATTTTACATTTTTTTTAAAGCTTACTAAAAAAAATCCAAGGGCCTAACTTCAAAATCAGTTTTACTATATAAATTATAAAAAAGAATTTTTTTGATTCTGTTTATCCAAATGTTCCTTTTGTATGGAGGATCTTTTATGAAAGTATACTATAAATAGATTCTAATAGAATATTACTATTCAAAGATATTTATAAAATCTCAAAGTCAGACTCTTTAAAACAAACTTTATTTAAAGATATCCAGGATACCTAGATTTATCCAAGAAATCCCATTCGTCGTGTTTTGCATTTCTCTTTAAAATAATGATTAATGCCTTGTTATTTGTTATGTTGCATACTGAGTGACTGTAGTCTTGAAATACAGATCTGTATTACTTTGTATAGACTGTATAACATTCCGTTTTTCTTTAACCAGCTCCCAATGAGACATAAAGATTATTTCTAGTTTTTTGCTTTTAATCAGTGCTTTAGCGCTCTCCCAGGTATGACTGAAGATTTATAAAATTCTAAATAAAATGACATGAAATGAAATTCTACATTTTATCAGTAGGATGGTTCATGTACTGATTTAATTATTATTTTTTTTTAGCTTTAAGTTCAGGGGTGCATGTGCAGGTTTGTTATAGGTAAACTTGTGTCACGGGGGTTTGTTGTACAGATGATTTTGTCACCCAGATACTAAGCCTAGCCTAGTACCCATTAGTTATTTTTGCTGATCCTCTCCCTCCTCCCACCCTCCACCCTCCTATAGGCCACAGTATCTGTTGTTCCTCTCTATGTGTCCATGTGTTCTCATCGTTTAGCTCCCACTTACGAGAACATGCAGTATTTGGTTTTCTGTTCCTGCTTTAGTTTGCTAAGGATAATGGCCTCCAGCTCCTGTTTTTCATTTCTAAACTATTAAAAAATCTATTTGGGGCCTGCACAGTGGCTCATGCCTGTAATCCCAGCCTTTTGGGAGGCCGAATTGGATGGACCACTTGAATCCAGAAGTTTAAGATCAGCCTGGGCAACATGGCCAAACTACATCTCTACAAAAAGTTTAAAAACTAGCCAGGTGGCGTGGTGCATGCCTGTAGTCCCAGCTACCCAAGAGGCTGAGTTGGGAGGATCATCTGAGCCTGGGAAGGTTGAGGCTGCAGTAAGCCGTAATCACACCACTGCATTCCAGCCTGGGCAACAGAGTAAGACTCTGTCTCAAAAAAACAAACAAACAAACAAACAAAATATATATATTTGTTCATTCCTAATCATCTGTCTTTGATAGTTCATCTTTGTGATTGTACTTTTTTATTTTTGAAAACATTACATATCATAACTGTTCTCTTTTTGGTTTCTAACAGTCTTTGGGGACCTAATTCTGGGAGTTTATTGTTGACTGTGCTGCTGGCTACCTGTTGAGTCTGTTGTGGACTCTGTCACTCTGTCATGGTGTCTTTTCTTCTGAAGGGTTTGGTGATCTTAGATGCTGAATTTATTGTTTGAACTGAATTAGTTGGAAGTTCTGTATACATACAGTGGGAATTTAGTATGTTTTCCTGGAATCACTTCATTCCCTCTTTGAGTTCTCAGCTTGGGGAGGAAGCTTCAGGTTTCCTATCCCAGCCTTGCTGCTGGCCTGCCCCTCTGCCTACCTCTCACTCAGGTACCAGCTTCACTCAGTCCCCCACTTCACTCAGTCTCCCCAAATCTCCCCCTCCGCTTTTTTTTTTTGACAGAGTCTCGCTCTGTGACCCAGGCTGGAGTGCAGTGGCATGATCTCAGCTCACTGTAATCTCCGCCTCCTGTGTTCAAGTGATGCTTGTACCTCAGCCTCCCGAGTAGCTGAGATTACAGACGTGCACAACCATGCCCGGCTAATTTTTTTGTATTTTTAATAGAGATGGGGTTTCACCATGTTGGCCAGGCTGGTCTTGAACTCCTGACCTCAGGTAATCTGCCTGCCTCCCAAAGTGCTGGGATTACAGGCCTGAGCCATCATGCCTGGCCACCCTCTTCAAACAAAATATGGGCATTTCCATTGGCCTAGGTCTTTACCTTGCCTACTTTATTGACTTACATTACTTACCTGGTCCCTGGAGACATAGACACATTTGTCACCCTTAGAGCTCAACCAAATTGTATTGAATGCATTTATTTGGCAATTTGTGCCTGTATTTTAATCTTCATCTCACATATGTGTTCTATTTTCCTAACTAGGTTGAAATAAGTCATCTGATGTACAGAATCCTGTTAAGTATTTTTCTTTCTTTTTTAAAAATTTTGAGACAGGGTCTTGCTCTGTCACTGAGGCTGGAGTGCAGCGGTGCAATCACAGCTCAGTGCAACATCCACCTCCCAGGCTCAAGGGATCCTCCCACCTCAGCCTCTTGCCTAGCTGGAACCACAGGTGTGCACCACCATGCCCGGCTAATTTTTCAATTTTTTTCTAGAGACAAGGTCCTGCTATGTTGCCCAGGCTGGTCTCGAACTCCTGATCTCAATCTATTGTCTGGCCTTGGTCTCTCAACGGGCTGGGATTGCAGGTGTGAGCTATTGCGCCCGGTCAACTATTTTTCTTTAAATTACTTTTTGGTTGAGGCCGGGCACGGTGGCTCACGCCTGTAAACCCAGCACTTTGGGAGGCCGAGATGGGCCTCCCCATAATGAAGTCAGATCGAGACCATCCTGGCTAACACGGTGAAACCCTGTCTCTACTAAAAATACAAAAAATTAGCCGGGCATGGTGGCGGGCACCTGTAGTCCCAGGTACTCGGGAGGCTGAGGCAGGAGAATGGCGTGAACCCGGGAGGCGCAGCTTGCAGTGAGCCGAGATCGCGCCACTGAACTCCAGCCTGGGCGACAGAGTGAGACTCGGTCTCAAAGAAAAAAAAATTACTTTCGGTTGTCACTTATCTCCATAAATATTAATATATGTTTATAAAACCTTTCTCTTATCTGAAGAGCTGACCTCAACCACTCAGGGTTGAGTCCCTGTGATAAGGTTTCAGAGTGCCTGAAATGTCATCATGATTCGTCCCCTGGGCTAAGCTGAAACCTAGTGACTTGTCGGGTCAATGAATTAAGGTGATTTCCCGATAATACAAACATGTAACACCGTGAAGTAGGTTTTAGACAAGATTCCCTCTTTTCCACGGCAAACGAGGTCCTAGCTAAGGCATTGGGAAGGTGGCGGGAGATTGGAAGTGCAGTAGTTGCGTTCTGGAGTTTACTGAGGCTTTCCCAGTGGGGATTCCACGCAACAGGTCTTAGGACGCCCTTCCCTCAGGGCGTGGCTCCTGGCACAGATCCACAGCGGTTGTCATCGGAGTCAATTTCAGGACTCCAGCTCCAAGCTTCGGAGTTCCCTAAATTCTGGGGGCTTGTCTGCTTGTCTCCCCCAACTAATTTCCCTCCGTCGCTGGCGCTGCCGGGTGCCTTCGGTCGCTCGGGCGGCCCCTCTCCGCGACTTTTTTTTTCTTTCTCTCTCTGGCTCTTTCAGCATCAGTTTCCCGATGGGGCGAGAGGGCAATGATACCTGGGGGCTCCCCTGCCTTCCTCTCCCAGCCGCAGAAGGGGAGATGCGGGGAGGAGGTCTGGCCGGCTTTGGGCTCCAGACGGAGGCTGTGGTCTCCGAAGGCCTTTGACAAGGGGCATTTCGCGAACTGCATGCCCCTCTCAGCCGCGCCACCGGCGCCCGGAGTCCAGCCGCGTCGCGCTGCGCGGAGTGCGGGCGCTCCGGGCTCCCGCCCCGGACTCCACACTCCCGCGCTCCCCGCAGCGCCGCCGCATAGCGTCGCTGCGTCCCAGGCTCTCCCGCGGTGCAGCTCACGTGACCCCGCTCTGGTAGAGGGAAGAAACAAGATAGCGGCAGAAGGCGATCCGGCGTGGGGCCGCAGCAATTCTGATTGAGCCTTCTCCCTCCAGCCGCTTCCGCCGGCCGGGCCCCTCCCGCCCGGCACCGCGGGCCTCCCCACCCGCCCCAGCGCTGCCCACCGCCCCCACTGCGCCCGCCCCTTCCCCTCCGCTTTACCTTCTCCCGCCTGCCTAGGCTCCAATCGGAGGGGCAGGTGGACAGGCCGCCCAAGCAGCCCGCGGCTCCCGCTGCGGAGCCCTGCCACCGCCGCCACGGCCCACGTCTGGACCCATCGAGGGTCTTCGCTCGCGGCACCGCGGTAGCCTCCGGGGCAGATGGGCCGCAGGCCAGGCTGAGATGGACCCCAAGACGCCGCTGAGCTCGCCCAGCAGGGGCAGCAGTAGCCGGAGGAAGCCGCCGCCGCCGGTCCCCCGCCCCCACGACTCTCCCATCCCTCCGCGGCAGCACCAGCGCCCCCGGGCGGCGGCCGGGGAGGGACGGGGGGGGGGGGGCGAGGAGGCGAGGGCGGCCCCCTGGCCGGGACCATCGTGGCCCTGAGGGCCGTCAGCAAGGTGGTGCACAATGACCACGACAGGGAGGAGGAGGAAGAGGATGGCCACACTGAGGAGACCCACGAGTCTGAGGACAATGAGGAGGATGAGATGGAGGAAGACGATGATGACTCCGATTACTCGGAGGAGCTGGAAGACTACGACGACGACGCCAGTTACTATATGGAAAGCAGCTTCAGGAGCCATAGTACCCACAGCAGCACTCCAGGTACCCACTCAGCGCAGTTGCCGCAGACTCCTTCCCCCCCACCTCTGCCCTCCCCCCTTGCTCAGTCCTGTACTGTGCATCCTGCTCCGGTCTCCCCCCAACCCCGCCGACCCCCCAAACAGAGGGGAAATGGAGGGCACATCAAGTGGCAAAAAAACTGGATTTACAAGAGGAAAGAGGTGCATTGTTCAAAATGGAGATTGAATTGTTGCAGTTTGAGGCCGCACTCGCTCGATCTCTCTCACACCCCCTCAACTCCCTCTTTTCCTCTTCAAAATGTGTGCAGTGCAGTGTCTCCGCGGGCAGGATTGAAACTTTGGCAAACGCATATCCATTGCTTTCATTTTTCTCCCCTTGTTTTGGTGTGGTTTTCTGGAATGAAAGAAGCCTCTTGTTTTGCAAACCTCTTTGCATTTCTAATGAGGTTTCTTTCGAATTTTTATTATATATCTGTTCCTTAAAAGGGAATTAAGGATTTGGACCGATTGTGACACACAAATACACACAAAAACATGCCTGTTTTCACACTCCTAACTGTGGTTTTTAAATTGTGTTAAGGAAACGGATCATTTGGGTTAGTAGGGGAACCTTATCTGGTCCTGTGTGCTTGTTTTTATTCTTCGAGTGCTAATGGGCACGTGCAACAGTTGCTGGTAAATGGCTGATTAAAAAGCAAAGCAGAAAGCCCAACAAGACCCAACCAAATTTGGTAATTCATCCGATTCAAAATTGTTTTTGACTGTTAAATCAAAAATAAAAGTATAAGACCGCAGGAACGCGCGTCATAACTCATTTGATCGCTTTGCCTTGCTTGGGAAATGCGGTTTCGTGTCACCTGTTGTAGAAGATGTGTAGTTGATCATCTAGACATAATTGCCGAAGATAAACTTTTGGACCAACTTCTGAGTCACACAGCGTCAGTATCAGATTTCTTACACAGCGACTTTTTCTTTTCACTCTATTTCTGAGGAAAAAGCCCTCTCGAAATCCATAATGAATCTCTCCATGGCAATCCCTCTTCTGTTTTCACATGCAAAAGTTTCTGTGGGCTGGTAATGAGATGCAGTTTGTTAAACAACCCCCCCGCCCCCACCAAAGGCTGCTTTGTATTAAATACTTAGTTGCAATTTACTAAATTGTGAAATTAACCAAAGCAACAACCGGCAAGACTTTTCCTTTATAATTTTGCAAATCTAGATTAATTAAATTAGAATCTGGTTTTAAAAGCATTTCAAAAATAAGGTTTATGAGGAAATACTTGTGAGCAAAAAGGACCCTTTTTTCCTTGAAGTGAGGTATGTCACCTCTTTCTCAGATCGTCTAGGGTAGAAGAAGTGGTTAAATTGAAAAGTTTCCATTTTTCTATAAATGCTTAAATACTTATTGGAGAAGTAGGGTAGTATTATATTAAGCCAAATGTAAACCCACGTAGGCTGTCCTAACATAAGCTGTAAAAAGGTAATTTCTGTTGCCCGATGGTCAGAATCGTTGCCAGACTTGTCCTGGGAGGCTGGCTGAAGAATGAAGGGAATGAATCAAATATCAGGTGTTTATGTCTTATATGTAGAAAGGACTACATGTAAATTTTTGCCAACTTAATTTTAGTACTTTTTTTTTTTTTTTTTTTAAGAGGAATCCTTGCTCTGTCACCTAGACTGGAGTGCAGTGGCACAATCTTGGCTCACTGCAACCTCCACCTCCCGGGCTCAAGTGATTCTCCTGACTCACCCTCCCGAGCAGCTAGGATTACAGGCACCCACCAGCACGCCTAATTTTTGTATTTTTAGTAGAGATGGGGTTTTACTGTGTTGGCCAGGCTGGTCTCGAACTCCTGACCTCAAGTGATCTGCCTGCCTCGGCCTCCCTCCCAGAGTGCTGGGATTACAGGCGTGAGCCACTATACCTGGCCCTTAGATGTGTCTTTGTGCTTTGCATGCAAGTGTGTGTTAGTAATGGACTTCTTTTGTAAAATAATTTTATTAATTATACAAGAAAATAATTTAGTGTATATTTATTTATTTATTTATTTATTTTTGGACAGCGTCTCCTCTCAGGCTGGAGTTTGGTGGCGTGATTCCAACTCACCTCCTGGGTCAAATGATTCTCCTGCTTCAGCCTCCAGAGTAACTGGGATTACAGGTGCGTGCCACCATACGCAGCTAATTTTTGTATTTTTAGTAGAGACGGGGTTTCACCATGTTGGCCAGGCTGGTCTTTAACTTCTAAACTCAGGTGATCCACCCACCTTGGCCCCCCAAAATGCTGGGGTTAGAGGCGTGAGCCACCACCTCAGGCCAAGTATATTTTTTTGATATTAAAAATTAAAGTATTATAAAATTGAAAACCCAAACCACAATGAGATGCCACTTCACATTCACTAGCATGGCTGTAATTATTTTAAAAAAATAAAAATAAAAAGTATTGGGGAGGATTTGGGGAAACTGGAACCATTATATATTGTTAGCGAGAATGTAAAACCATGTAGCACTATGGAAGATACTTTGGCAGTTACTTAAAAAGTTAAACTTAGAGCTACTATATGACCTAGTAATTCTCTTCATACATATATAGTCAAAAGAATTGCAAACAAATGGTCATGCAGAAACACATGCACATATGTATACAGCAGCATTATTCTCAATGACCAAAAGGTGCAAACAACCTACATGTGCATTAACTGATGAATGGGTAATGCAAATGTGATTGATCCATATAACAGATGTATTCTTCAGCCTTGAAAGGAAGGAAATTCTGATGCGTTACAACATGGAGAACCCTGGAGGGCGTTATGCCAAGCGAAATAAGCCAGTCACCAAAGGAGAAATACTGTGTGATTCCACTCACATGAGGTACTCAGTGTGGTCAGATTCATAGAGACAGAAAGTAGAAGGGTGGTTACCGTAGGCTGGGAGAAGGAGCGAATGGGGTTAGTGTTTAATAGGTACAGAGTTTCAATTTGGGAAGATGAAAAAGTTCTGGAGATTTGTTGTACAACAATGTGCATTTTTTTTTTTTTTTTTTTTTTTGATGGAGTCTCACTCTGTCACACAGGCTGGAGTGCAGTAGGAGCGAATGGGGTTAGTGTTTAATAGGTACAGAGTTTCAATTTGGGAAGATGAAAAAGTTCTGGAGATTTGTTGTACCACAATGTGCATTTTTTTTTTTTTTTTTTCAAAAGTAAGATATTTTAACTAAAGTCTGTCAAGGCAACTGCCTCTTTCTACTATCATAGTTCCCCTTGTTTTGGATGGCTTTAAAGGGCTCATGGACATTTTGGGCATCTGGTTAAGGGGAAGTTCAACTGGGGATAT